CGCCGCCGCCGCCGCCGCCCGGGCCCCCGGGCCCGCCCTCCGAGGCCGCCGGCTACTCCCACCAGCTGCTGCTGCTGCTGCTGCTTCAGTGAGCGCCGCCCCGCGCCCCGCCATTGTCCCCGCCGCTCCGCCGGGCCGCGGGGGACGCGCATGGGTGGACGCCGCTGATGCCGCCGCCGCCGCCGCGCCGCCCTCCGAGGCTGCGTCCCGCCGAGCCCGGCCCCGCGCGCTCCCCGGACTGGAGCGCGCCCCCATGGAGGCGCCCGGGCTGGCCAAGGCGGCCAAGGCGGCCAAGGCGACCGAGCCCGAGGCCCCGGGGGGCCGTGCCGACGCCCCCGACGGCGCGCCCGCGCTCTGCCCCAGCCCCGAGGCGCCCTCGCCGGAGCCCCCCGCCTACCGCCTGCAGGACTTCGACACGCTGGCCACCGTGGGTGAGTAGGGCGCGCGGGGGACCCTGCCCGGGGGGACGCTGGCGTCAGACAAAGGGCGCGCGTGTGCCGTCGCCCGGCCGCCCCCCTGACCGGCCCTGGCCGCTCGCGTCTGCGCGGGGAGTCCCGGCCGTGCGCCCCTGGCCCCTGTGGGCGCCCCGAGACCCGGAGCCAGGCCCCTTCCAGCCCCCCGCGAGCCTCCCCGCCTGCGGGCGCCCGGGCCCCGCGCCCCAGAAACCCCTTTAGGTAGGACTCCCGTCCTCCCCGGCCGCCCCAGGTGTCCGTGGCACCCGACGTCACGAAAGTTCCTGGGGGGGGGGGTGTCACCTCACGTTGGGGTCGTCGCCCGCCCTCCCAGCCAGGGGCCCCGAGCGACCGAGTCGGCGGCCACACGCACCTGCACAACTCTTTCTGGGCAGCGTCCCTGTGCCCAGCGTCAGGATGCTTCCGCGTAGACCTCACCGGGTGCTTGGCGGGGACAGGTGTCCCGGGGCTCCCGTCACGGGGCGGGCGGGGGGCGGCGAGGGACACGGACGCCTTGAGCGCCTGAAAGTTGGGGCTCCTTCCCGGACACTGATTTCCCTTTGTCCCGTCCCTTTGAGTTGCATGTAATTTCCAGCGAGTTCCCTGGGCGCGCGGATCCCCAGACGCGCTGGCCTATGCGGCCGCCCCGAGTGGGGTCAGAAAACCCCGACCGCACGGCGGTGCCGGGTTCAGGTTGTGGACACGCACCACCTGCCTGTGGCTACTTAGCACGTCTTTCCTGCCCACAGGGTTCGGGGGACGTGCGCTTTTTCAGAGAGCGCGTGGGGGAAGGGGCCGTGTCACCCTGGGACAGGGGTGTTCGGGGACTTTCCTGGGTACCCTAAGCCTATTTTGGAAAGGAGGAAGCTGGGCGGGGAATCAGGAAGCCGTGAACTCGAGGTCGTGGCCTAGGGTCAGTCACGCCGGCAGACGCAGCCAGACCTTCTCTTTTCCCTCCGGGGTCTCCCCCTGCCCTGTGCACTCGGCTGTCGCTGTTTCCCTCATCCTTCTGTCTCTGTGTGCCCGTCTCCTTCCCTCCCTCCCGGAAGCCGGCTGGTGGAAAAGCGGCCTGTGTTTTGCAGGGGGCAGCAGGGCGGGCCGGGAACTCGGGCCAGTGCGGTGACCCCGGGGTATGTGGAAATCCGAGTGAACAATGGAAAGTTGCCGGGGGACCCGCGGAGCCTTGGCACGCAGAACCACCCATTGTATTGCTTCTGGGCACAGGCATGGCTCTATTGTCAGACGGGCCCGGGCCACGGGCCAGGACGCGCGGCAGGGTGTGGGCGGGCTGTGGACCTGACCTCTCCTGCCGCCTGCAGTCACGCGGGGCCCCGTGGGCATAGGTGCCCAGCCGGTCGTCTTGTCCTTAAAAATAGAAGGTCGCCGCCTTTGGGGACGGAGAGGGGCGGCTGTGGGAGGGTGACTCCTTCCCTCCAGCTGCCTCTTGGCCTCTCCTACTGGGGACGAGGCTCCTTCCTCAAGGATGACTTCCTGCGGGCTCCAGGGGTGTGGACGGAGAGCGGGGGGCGCGTGTTCAGCTGTTAGGTTACACAGCGTGGTCAGGGGCCCAGGGGTGTGTGTGTGAGAGAGAGACACAGACAGACAGACCCAAGTATGTGTATGTGAGAGACCCAGGGGGGTGTGAGTGACGGAGGTGTGTGTGCAGTTTCTGTGGTGTTGTATCTAACCTTGTGCTTCAGTACTGAGGCACGTGAACCTGAGCCCTCTCGGCCCCGGAGACTAAGACTGGAGGGACCCCCGGCCGTCCCGCCCCGGCCGTCCCGTCCCGCAGCCCGTGCGTGTCCCCACCAGGTCCCAACGTAAGGTGCAGTGGGTCCCAGGGGGACGAGCAGCTGGGCGACCTCACGGGGCCCCAGGCCACACGGGCGCCCATAGACCATCTCTATGCACTTTTCCTCCTGAGAGTACAGTCCTCCGTGATGGGGACCCACCCTACACCCTACACGCGGAGGGAGCGCTCCCCAGACGCCCCCAAGCCCTCCGCACCTCTGTTTTCCACCACCGTGCCCACGCCCCAGAACCTTCTGTGCAGGATGATTCGGGACGGGAGGGCACAGCCCGGCTCCGCCCCGGAGGACGTTTCCCTTCGTGGTCGTGGCACACAGTGTGGGTTCCCGTTGCCCGTCTCCCCTTGGGTGTGTGACTCACTCTTGTCCTCCCCCCGACCCTGCCGTGTTTTCACCCGTCACTTGTGCCTGCCAGCTGGGTGCTCCGGGGGGGCGGGGGCGCCCACGGGACAGGACTGCCGAGTCCCCGTCGCAGGTCTGACTTCGGCTCAGGCCATGATCTCGCGGTTCATGAGTTTGAGCATCGGGGCTCCGTGGTGACAGCTTGGAGCCTGGAGCCTGATTTGGATTCTGGGTCTCCCTCCCTCTCTGCCTGTGTCCCGCTTGCCCTCTGCCTCTCTCGCTTTCTCAAAAATAAATAAAACAATAAAAAAGTAAAAAATGTACATACATGTTTTGAAATAATTATACACTCGCGGGGAATCCCCAAATCCGTCCCGTGCACCCTTGGCAAAGCTTCCGTGCGTCCTGATTCCTTCTTGGCCCAAGATCCCAACCAGGATGTTGCCTTTGGTTCAGTCGGAGAGACCGTGGACCCTGTGCAAGGCGTCCCAGTTTCTGCAGGCACGGCTTTCAGATTCTGGGGCGGATGCATTTCTCTCCAGTTTTACCCTGTGCGTTTATTCCCCTATTTATTTATTCATTAAAAACATTTTAGTGCTATTTTTGAGAGAGAGCGAGAGCAGAGGAGGGGCAAAGAAAGAGGGAGACACAGAATCCGAAGCAGCTCCAGGCTCTGAGCCATCAGCACAGAGCCCGATGCGGGGCTCGAACCCACGAACTGTGAGATCGTGACCTGAGCCGAAGTCGGGAGCTTAACCGACTGAGCTCCCCAGGTGCCCCCATCCTGTGCATTTCTATGGCGGCCAACCCCCCCAAGTCGAGGCCAGGGTGAATTCCCTTCACACAGCCTGGGGGCTCACGGTCGCCACCTGCTATTTGCTTAGTTCACACGTGGCACAATCACAAAGTTGTGTTTCCTTAAGATCGAGGAGACCTTTGCCCGTCAATCACTGACTGTAGGCGGATCTGTCTAAAGTCCTGGCAATCATTTTGCTTCCCCACCGATAGGACTTTCTCCCGCGCCTTCGCTTCCCCCAATTTGGCCCTAATCCCGCTCCAGCTGCCCTGGGCTGTGTGTCTCCTATAAGGGAGCTCATCGTAGCCCCGGGCGGACCCCAGCGTCACAACCTCTCCTAATCATAAACACGTCCTGAAGGCCCAACAGCAAATGTGAATGCCATGACGCTGGGGGGGCACGGCGGGGACACAAACATTCATCTGCGTCAGTGCGTAACTCCCTCCATCCCCCTCCCCCAGCCCCTGCCTCGGGACGGGGACATGGGAGGTCATAGACGACTCAGCACGGTGCTTGCTGCCTCTCGAGTTTACGCTGCGCTGAGACGGGTGCACGGTGGGTACCATTGGCGGGAAGAGAGAGCAGCGTTGTGGGATCGGGGCCATGGCACGCGGAGGCGGGGGCGGGCCGTGCTGGCACGCGGAGGGCACCGTGGGGTCCGCTGTTCCCAGGAGGAGATGTTTGATCGAATCCTGGAAGGTGAGGCAGGGGCTCCCTTGCGGACAAGACCGTGGGCACCGTGGCTGGTCCTCAGGCTTGGGCCACGTCACGATCCCCTGCAGGGCCGAGGCCGGCCCCGCCCTGGAGACTTTTCCTGGGTCCCCTCCCTTGAGCTGGAGCCTGTGACTCTGCATTCCTCACAAGTCCCCAGCGATGCTGCCGGTCCAGAATGTGCTCTGGAACCCCAGGGCCACCTCGGGGCCCCGTGCACGTGTTCCAGAAGCTCTCAGGAGGTCACTGTGGCCGGTGTGGGGCCGGGCAAGCCGGGACCGGGAGGCACAGAGCAGAGCTGGCCGGGTGTGAGCACTGGGGGAGGGGCTGCAGGATCTTGAGCTGTGACCGCATCTCCCGTGGGTTCAGAGGTTTTTGTTGGGGCTTGTTGGGGGCAGAGGCTTGGGAGCATGCACCCTTGAGGATGTGGTGGATGGTGGTGTTTAGAATCGGGGACATCTTACCGGGTGCTCAACTTCTGGGACCACTTGGAGGTTGAACCCAGACGATTTGCCGTGTGAAAGTGACCGTATTAGCCCAGTAGAGCCACTGGGAGACATTGCCACAGAGTGGGCGGCTTAAACCGCAGACCTTGGTCTCTGGCAGTTCTGGAGGCTGAAGGTCTGAGGTCAGGATGCGGGCTGATTGGGTTTCTGGTGAGACTTTGCTTCCTGTTTCGCAGATGGCCATTTTCTCATCGTGTCCTCACGTGGGCTTCACGTGCAAGCTGATTTGGGAGGGGTGGGCACAGGATGCGTCCTCTCGTGTCTCTTCCTACAGGGACACTTACAAGGGGTTCTGTTGGATGAGGACCTCACCGTTAGGACCTCATTTCACGTTTGTTTCTTCCTTAGAAACTTCATCTCCAGATACAGTCACACTGGGATTTATGTCTCAAAGACGTGAATTTTGCAGGGGGGGAGGGGACGCAGACATTCCGTCTGCAACAGTGACTTAGAGAACGAAGTCATGAGTAACTTCAGCTCCGAGGTTTTTGGGTTAAATAATGGGAAAGCTGGTGCTGCATCAGGCAACGCAAGGTGGGCTGTGGATACATCCGTGTTTGAGAGAGAAGATCACCACGTCGTCACCATCACCTGTCTATGCTTGTCCCTGACACCTGCCCACATCCTACCTCCTCCATCATGTTTATCATCTTAACCACCACCATCGTCACCAACACCATCATCATCATGGCCATGGTGACCACCACTGCCAACCCTATCGTCATCATGACCATCATCATCATGGCCATGGTGACCACCAACGCCAACCCTATCGTCATCATGACCATCATCATCATGGCCATGGT